TTTAATGTTATAATTTTTTTAAGATATTTAATTCTGAAAAATAAATCTAATCCTTCAATATCCAAGAGATTATCATGTTTAAAAGATTTTTCAAGGTTTAGGCATTTTTTTCAAAGTTATATTATCTAGTGACTTTAATTTTTTTTAACACTAACTAAAAAGCTAAAAATATCTTCAAATATTTTAAATTGTTCAAATCTACTTTGAAGTGTAGCAATTGCTTTATCTACAATATATAAAAAGTAATCAATTCTAAACAATTTTTGAAGAGATTTTACAATTTTATTCTTAATACTTTCGTTAAATTGTTTCTTTTTATGATTAATATGTTTTCATGAAACTTAGGCTCTATATCTATTTTAAAAGTAATTTCTTTGACAAAAGTTCATGCATTTTTAAATATATTTTCCCTATACTTTTAAAAAAATTGAAAGAAGACATTTTAATTGTTCAATGGCCTCATCAATGCACATATCTTTTGATTATAAATTTTTACTAACTGAGTTAATTGCAAATAGTATGTCATACCAAATTACCATTCCTAACAAAATTTCAAAATTTTCAAGCTTGTAAGTTGCTAAACAATCAGCTTCACTTTTTATTTTAGGATCATCACTAAGTTCAGCCAATTTTAATAAAACATCTCTTATTTGTGAAGTTTAAAATCTTACAACTTTTACACTTTCAATATAACTTTCCTAACATGTTTGTGACAACGATTTAAGAGTTAAGTTATGTATATAATATTATAAAATTTTTCACCTTTTTGTAGAAGAAGAAAATAAAGTATATATATACTGTAACTCACCAAAAAAAGCTACAGCTTTAGGACAAGAATTAGCCATATCACAAAGTACTAAGTTTAAACTATGACAACCACATGAAGTATAAAATGATTTAGAATTAATATTTAGAAGTCTTTTTTGCACACCTTGATATTTGCCTTTCATATTAGACCCATTATCATATCCTTGTCCCCTAAAGTCATTAATATCAAGTTCAACAATTTTTAATTCATCAATAATAGCATCGAAAAGACCTTTACTACTTGTATCATCTACTTTTAAAAATTATAAAAAATACTCATTAACTTGTATCAGAGTTGATGAAGTATCCATGCATTGTAATACAAAAGACACTTGTTCTTGATGACTTATATATGGAGTATAGTCAAGTATAACTGAATAATATTTCGCATTCATAATTTTTTTTTTATAATTTATGTTTTGATTTTACTTGCTAACAAATTTATCAACTCATTTTGTATATTATGCCCAAGGTAATGATTATGAGTTTTATCATTTTTAATTTGACAAATATGTTCTTGCATAATTGAATCAAATTATGCAATCATTTCAATTAGACTTAAAAAAATTTCCATTACATTCTTGATATATCTTTTCATTTTTTTCACGGAAGGCTAAATTATTTTTACCAAGAGTTATAACAACTGCAATAATTCTTAATAACACATTTCTTCAATGTTCTCTATCTCTATTTATTTATTCTTGAACATGGTTGTCTATTGTGTTATTTTTTGACAATCTCATCTTGAAATCAATCCATGCATTCATATTAGTGACATGTTAATTAGTTATTTCATGACTCTTCAACTTAGCACTAAGATTTCTCTAATCTCTACTACCTTAGTTAGCTAGTTTACTTGTACAAGAAACAAAATTAAATAATTTGCAACAAAAATAAAATACTCTATCTAAATTTATGGAATAAATTAGCCATCTTCTTTCATGTTTCTCTCTATTAGGTAATTTTTGAATGTGATTTGATGAAGAAAAATGTCTGGAATATTTATCCTTTGGAAAATTTATACCAATAACTTTAATAGGGCTTTTTTTTACTAATAAGTCTCTCAAATTTGTACTAATATTCATCTATTGACTTGGATCATATATATTTTTAGAAATAAAATAATCTAATCTTTCAATTTCTTTCTCGTTATCATGAGTTTGAGAATCAAAATTATCCTCTTCACTAACTATTTCTCTATTGTTGTTTTCACTTATATTTTTATTGTTATATTGTTCATTCAAAGAGCATCTGCATGTGTTTTCTAATTAATTTTTCTTGTTTGTTTTTATAAATTTATCCATAGCTCCTTTTTGTGATTCAATTAAAGCCTTGAATCTCCTCTTTTTCTGAAGTTTTGAATGGCCTGATTCATACTTTTTAGTTGGCATTTATATATTTTTATATGAATTTAAAAATTATAATATATAAAGTATGAAATATTCTAGTAAAAAAAAGTATGAAATATAAATATATAAAATAAAACTAAATTAAAACAATACAACCTGTTTGTCAAGAAAATAAACTTGACACTTGCAGTTTCTGCGCCTCCAAAAGTGATAGTTTTGTAGAGAAATTGTGAAATACTGTTTGGTAAGTGTGAATAATGGAGACTAAGTCATGGAGGGAAGACTTTTGTACCAGAAAAATAGAAGACTTTGCTTCCTCCTCTGCTTGCACTATGAATATTCTCTTTTCATTCTACCCCGATGCTATTGTTAGTAAAAAAAATATAAATTGAAGCAAAATTCAACAAGAAGAGAAAAAGAAGAAAGTAGTTAGAAAAAAGAAGAAGAAAGAAGTAGCAATTAAATAAAAAGTAAAAAATTGTTCAATTTTTTTTTGCTATTCAATTATTTAAAAAAAAAACGTTTATTATCTATTGATTAAGTGTTATGACTCATTAAATGTTATTTGTAATATCAATAAAAAGTTAACAATTACTTAAAATATTTAAATTAAAAACTATTTTTAAATTTAATTTTTTAAATTTTAGAGGTATATTAAAACTAAAAAAAAATAATTTGGGGTGCCTCAAGCCCTTGCCTTACGTGCTTGGGCTTTAGGCCAACCCTGACTCGACCAACTAAATGAATATTTTTGACCCTTGAAATGGTAACTTGCAACACATTCTTTGGAAATTGTATGGTCTATCCAAGGCTCAGAAAGAATGATCAAGATAAATTACGGATCTAGATCCTATATAATTTTAGTACTAACTCTTGCATTGTATTTTTGCTTAAGCAATAAGCAAAAAATAATTTTTCACTTAAGTCTTAAAATTTGTTTAAGCAAAAATTTAAAAATTTATTTGAGTGAAAAATGTATGAAATAGAGCGAGAGAGTGCAGCGTAAGAATTGGTTGGGTAAGATGGAGAAGAGGGAAAGAAGAAGAAAAAATATTGAGTGTGAGAAGGAAGAGGATGACTGGATTGAAAAGAGAGAGAGAGAGGAAGGAACTAAGTGAAGGGGGTTGGGTGGAGTGAGAGAAGAGGGAGAAGGAAGAAAGAGACTGGGTGGGAGAGGATGAAGAGCTAAGAGAACGGGAAGAAGAAGAGTGGGTGAAAGGGAGAAAGAGGCTGAGTGAGAGAGAGGGAGAGAACGGCTAAATGAGAAGAAAAGGAGGAAAGGTTATGTGAGAGGGAAGGAAAGAGAGGAGGAGAGAAGAAGGGACTTAGGTGGGTGAAAGAGAGGGGAAGAGATTGGGTTAAAGAGAAGAGAAGGAAGCAAAATGAATGAGAGAGAAAAAGAAAATGTTGCACTGTATTTTTGCTTAAGTACATCTAGAGTGAATCTAGATTCGCTTAAACAAAAATATATTACAGGCCCTGCAACTGCAGGAATCTATATCCATAAATAACACAATTAAGTTAGTTATGTTTTAAATAGCTCTACCTCCTCCAATTTTACACACAAGAAGATAACAATAAAAAATATTAATCAAGTCCATTCAATTGTCCAAAAATATTAAAAAAAAATTAATAATAAAAAAATAAATATTAACTCTATAAAAATTGATACTAACGGGATAAGAAAAATTCTAAATCAAAAAAATATTTTACGGGTATCTTATTTTTATTCTTTTTATCATATTAAAAAAAAAACCTGCGTTTTGTGGCTATTGTTGGTTCAATTCTTAGATAATATTTGTATTTTTAAAAATTTAATTTAAGATTCTTACACATGTATAAGTCATCCTCACTAATTAGAAATTAAATTAGCTCGTCCGAAGAGTTAAAATTCTCTTAACAATTATGTAAGAGGTCAAATTGATTTGATTTAAGCTGAACTATATTTTATAGTTTTTGTTAACAGGGCGTAGTTTTAAAAATTAGTAATTGTAAAATTGTTAAAAAAAGATATTTAATATATTTTTAACGATTTAGATTAATAATTTGTTTTTTTTTATTGTTGTATTAGATGGATTGTAACATTCTGTATGCAAGGAAGAGTTTGTCATTAGTGATTTTATTTTTAAAAAAACTCAACAAATATAAATAAATAAATAAAATAAATAAACACATGTGGATATAGATAAAAGAAGTTACGGGTTTCTCTCTTCGAATGAATGATAATAGTTACATATTTTAGGTATTTTGCTAAATTAGGTTGTTTTTATAAAATAAAAACTTCAGTGAGTAAAATAAATTTTTAACTAATTAATTTTTTTTTAAATGCACTATGTTCTTACATTTCCACATTAAATTTTTTTGCTGAGTTAACGAGCCAACTTGCTCGGAATCTGAGATCTGGTATGGAAACTTACCAATTCAGAGAAATCCTAGAATTCATAATGGGCAATACCCAATTCCTATTTTCCGAACATAAAGAAAAATTCAGAAAGAGAGAGAGAAGTAGATTGCAAAGACCCAATGAAAGCTATTCAAACAAATGGAGTAAACGATTTTTCCTTTTATGGTAGGAAAAGAATCCTTCCTAATAATTCGTTTTTCCTTTTTGTCCGATTCAATCCTCATGCAAGTTTAATGCCCAATTAAAGTTACTATAACAATACAATAAAATGATCACCACAATTTATATCAAAACAATTAAAAAAATCCAATTATTACAATTAGTAACATAATAATATAGCAACAATCCATTTATTTAATAAATATATTATGAAAGGGTTGTTAAACCTATTGTTTTTCTCGATCATAAAATAGTGTGTAGGAGAAGAACAGAACAAGATAGATTTGAAGAGGGGAGCGTGGTCAGAAGCAGATTCTTGATTTAAATTTTTTTACTAAAATGAGTTAGTTGTAGTTCCTGGAAACCAGTATGAGTGAAGAATGAGTTTAGCTCTTGAAATTATAAATTAATGGAAAACGTTAGTATAGTTGGCTAGTTAGGTGGTGAAATTTCAAGGTTGAACAATCTCAGCAGACAGACAGCGTTAACAAACTCACCATTGTATATTGGTATCATAGTCAAATTGCAAACCCTCGCACTGTCTCAAACATAACCCTCACCAACCCCTCCACTCACATACCACAAATTCATTACACTAAACTCAAACAAAATCACAATTCACAATCCCCAATGTCCCTTCTCTTCTATCTCTTTCTCTTTCTCTTCACTTTCTCTCAAACCCCTTCTCTGGCCGCAAACGACACCGTTCCATGTCCCCTCAACATCACCGTCCTCAGCGTCGTTGGCGGCGGTGCCAGACCCTCCTTCGACGCCAGAACACAGTGCCCTTACATTCTCCAAGCTCTCCACCTCCTCCAAGCGGATTTACTCCGCCGCACCGGCCTCTTCGTGCCGCCACTGAACTCCTCCGAATTGTGCTGGAACATGTTCCAATCCTTCATCAACCAATATGACTCCACCTTCGATGTTCGCTCCTCTTGTGGTCTTCAAACATCTTGGATCTCCCAGGGATGCATGAACATCACCACCAAACAACAGTTCGAAGCCCCCGTTCCTAACTCCACACTCCAAGCCGTTCAAGGAAACTGTAACCTATCACTTGAGAATAACGCTCCATGTGCCCTCTGCACTACTAAATTGTCCAGTTTGTTGTCCTACTTCAACGGAACAATGGTTGGCAACGTTTCCGATTGTAGGGCTTATACTGCTATTTATGCTGCTTCTCTTTCCGTTCAGTATGGACCCACCAACCCTGGAACTGCTAAATGCTTGTTTGGCCTTGATTTTTCCTCTTCCGGTTCTTCTGGTAAGCATCGAACCATTGTTATTGTGGTTGTTGTGGTTTTGTGTGTGTTGGGTTTGCTTCTGTCAGGTGGGTTTTGGGTTTACTTGAGATTGAAGAGGGGGAAGAAGGGTGGGAGAGAGAAGGGTGTTGGTGGAACTGAGATGAGTTTGGCTTCTGGGTTGGATTCGATGAACCAGAGTACTACTTTGATTAGGTTTACTTTTGATGACATTAAGAAGGCTACTAGGAATTTCTCAAGGGATAACATTATTGGGAGTGGGGGTTACGGGAATGTTTATAAAGGGTTGCTGTCGGATGGGACTCAGGTTGCGTTGAAAAGGTTTAAGAATTGTTCGATTGGTGGGGATACTAGTTTTGCTCATGAGGTTGAGGTTATTGCGAGTGTTAGGCATGTGAACCTTGTTGCCTTGAGAGGTTATTGTACTGCTACTACTAATTTAGAGGGTCATCAGAGGATTATTGTCACTGATTTGATGGAAAACGGGAGTCTTTATGATCATTTGTTTGGTTCTGCCAAGAAGAAACTAAGTTGGCCCATACGTCAAAAGGTTGCTCTAGGCACTGCTAGGGGCTTGGCTTATTTGCATTATGGGGCTCAACCTTCTATCATTCATAGGGATATTAAAGCTAGTAACATACTTCTTGACGAGAAGTTTGAGGCCAAGGTAGCGGATTTTGGGTTGGCAAAGTTTAATCCTGAGGGAATGACGCATATGAGCACAAGAGTAGCTGGAACTATGGGGTATGTTGCTCCCGAGTATGCCTTGTATGGACAGTTGACTGAGAGAAGTGATGTGTTCAGCTTTGGTGTTGTGCTTCTTGAGCTTTTGAGTGGGAAAAAGGCTCTTCAAACAGACGATGATGGCCAACCCTCCGCACTCACGGACATGGCTTGGTCATTAGTTAGAAATAGTAGAGCTTTGGATGTGATTGAAGATGGCATGCCAGAACCTGGTCCACCACAAGTTCTGGAGAAGTATGTGTTGGTTGCAGTACTATGTTCTCATCCGCAGTTATATGCTAGGCCAACGATGGATCAGGTCGTTAAAATGCTGGAGACAGATGATGAATCAGTACCCTCAATAGTGGAAAGGCCAATTCCTTTTATTGCCGGGAGGATTGATATTGAGAAATCTGCCCTTAGTAACTCAGGTCAGCTCTGCAGTCCAACCGGTTATCAAGCATATACATTACAAAATCGCCGCCCTTCTGATTCAAAGGAAGAAGAAGGAAGTTCGGCGACTGTGACCACAGATTGAAACTGAGAAAGTTGGATTGTTTTCTACCAGCCGTTGTAGGCTTGATTTGTTTGTACATTCAGATTGTATGTTTTTTAAATGTTTTCTGTTGTAAAGCTAAAAGGGATGTACAAAATTTGATTCTTTTTAAAGTTTATCATGCAAGATTTTTTGGCACTTTTTTCTTTACACTTCTTTTTTACACCTACATTTTCAGTTGCAGATGAAAAGATTTTTATCTTAGAAATAACGAAGAGTAAAGGGTAAATGATTGTGTTTTAAGTGGGAAATGAAGTGAAAAAAAGAAAGAAAGTGTGAAATGATCTTTATTCATTAGTCAGTGGGAGTATCATTCACACTAAAAATTCTAATGTAAGACATTTAAATATGTTTTAAGAAAGCACGTAGCTCAGTTGAGGCTAGTTTCTCTCCTCGTGAATCAACTTACTGCTAATTGTTGAACCAGAGGAGTCCAGTTAGTACGGCAGTTTATGCAAATTGCCAGCTTGCTTGAAGACTGCAGCATGTTTATGTCAAGTCCTCAACTTTGGATCACATTTTGGTCATCATAGGATAATGATCCGTCCCTATTTTTTAGGTACAAATGGGTTACTCGTTACTGTAAAACTTGAACTAGGATTAGTGCTTTCAAATGTAATGGTACAAGTCCATAACTAAAACACTTAAGAAGATATGAAGAAAGCCACTTAATTATTTAGGGTGTTAATAAGGAAATTTATGGACTTGTCTGTTTATATTGATGCTTGGCTGGATTATTCTATTTCTTACTAACCCAACTAGCTTTGTTTTGTTGGCTACCGAAATCTGAACTCTCAACATCATACCATAGATATACAAAGAGCTGGCAAAGATATTAATATCATTATTAACAAATAAACAGATTCCCCTGCTTAAACATTAGGATTATATGGTGGTGTTAATGTAATATATTAATGCATTTGCTGTTGGAGAATATAAGCCAATAGCCTGAATGTAATAAATTACTTAAAAACTTCTTAATAATTGGAGGTTTAATTGGTAAGATATGCCATAATTGACGATAACAACAAAGTAGTCTTGCTGTAGCTATTAAATTGAAAGAGAAAGGGGAATCAGAGCCTAAACTCCTCACAAAATATTCTCTAACCAGTAAATATGCCTAATAAACTATATTCATCACCCACTAACCTCACTCATGCTAACCTTCTAAAATACCCTCTCATGGTACTCACCTGCCACCTTATTTTACAAACTCTTTTCAGAATATTCTCTCTACATTGTGGGCCCTGGGCCCTTTTAATTGACTCAAAAAGCTAACAATTCTCGAAGGGGATTTGAGGTTCAAACTGCCAACAAAACTGATTAGGATATTATTATAGATAATAAATTGATGATAATAGGCAATTCTATCCTTCTGCTGATTAGAACAGAATCTCCTTCAGAAGCATAGCATTTCATGAGGCTACTTTCGCTGCAAGAACAAGCTCAGCTACAACCTCAGCTACAACCTCTTTTTGGATTTTCACTGCATCATAACATAAATCAGTGTAGGATTTTCAACGGATCCAGATTCTCTCCAGTTCACGCGAGAACTAGACGTCCAGTCATTTTTTCGCTTCAACGAATCCTATTCGCTTAAGGTAAAATAGCTGATTTTCGCTTAATTATGTCAAAAAATGGCTTGGGCGAATTTTGATATTTTCTATTAGCTTAAACTAAAAAAAAGGGTTTAAGCGAATGTTAGCTTAAACAAAAATAAACAGCTTAAGCGAAAAATGGACAAAGAGCACCAGTTTTCAGAGTTCAAAATAGCTTAAGCCACCAAAATTAGCTTAAGCGAATTAATAATAGCTTAAGCGATTCATAGTAGCTTAAGCGAAAAATGGATAGAGAGCACCAGTTTTCAGAGTTGATATTTGCTTAGGCGTGATTAGAATAGCTTAAGCTATTACAAAATAGCTTAAGCGAAATTATAATAGCTTAAGCAAAGGTGTAATAGCTTAAGCAAATATTCCAGAAACTGAAAAAAAAAACGCATCAGAACATAACAACAGCAGATGTAATCATATTTTTATATTTGGAATGCTTAAGCAAATGCAAAAATTAGATAACAATGCATATCAGGAAGTAGTCATCAGCTCCATAACATAAGTTATTCTAATGTAATCAAATGTAATCAAATTTAAGAGACAATGATATCTTTATATTATAAATAGAAATTTCTAACATCAAGTTGTTCACATTACATGCCTTGAAACAAAAAACATTGGGAAAGAAACTAAAATTAAACATCAAGTTAAATATTCCTAATGAAACAAGGAAAATAGAAAACAAAAGGCTTAATTATTTTTCAACAATAACATCATCATGCATTTGATCTCCTTGCTCCATGTTATGCTGCTTTTGATGACCCTCTACCTCTTCACCTTGTTCTTCCTCTTGAGGCTCTTGTATGACCCCTTTATCAGCTCCTGGTTGCCCTTGTTCATGTGTAGGAGACACTTCACATTGGTTTGGCTGATTTGGGAATGGAGGGGGTGTCTCCAGGCCATGAGACATGTGTTGCAAACTCTTCAGGTGTTGGCCATGGGAATGTTGAAATGTCTTGTTGGTGTTGGTGTTGGTGTAGGGTAAAATGGTAGAATGACTCATTGAGATGTGTGTATGCTCGATGGTTTGCTGCTAACTGGTGATGGATGTGAGTATAAGCCTGACGATTGACCTCCATATGATGTTGTATTTCAGTTAGATGTTGTGTGAGGTGACATTCCATAAGTGTCATGTTATGAATGAGCGGTGATGTTGTTGGTGGTACTGATGAAGAAGGTTGAGAAGCTGCATTTCCCTGTTCCAATTGGTTGATGCAATAATTGTTGATGAATTGGGCATTGATGGGCTTTTTCAGTCTATGAGTCAATGAAGTCCGGTAAGGTATTTGAACACCTTGGACAGCTCAAAGAGCAGTGATAAGTGCTGAAAATCCCAAGGGTTTTGTGACAATTGCTGTATGAGAGGGAGTTGAGATGACAAATTGATAAATCTCGTCAGATATAATGGTGGCAATATCCATGGTCATCCTTTCCATGATGCTGTATATAAGGTAGGCCCGAGGCATGCGAAGGTTTGATGTGTTAGTGGTCGGGGCAATATTGACAGATAGAAAGGAGGCCCAAATCTGGGCTAAGGTCTTCAAATTTTCCCTTTTGAACCTCAGCGGCTTGCCTTCATGATTTGTCTCATAGGATTTGCCCGGAATACACAATGTTTCAACTACCTTGTGATTTAAGAATCCAGTTTTGCTATTTTTCGTTTGCTGGTAATGACACAACTCCCCTTCTTGTAAGGTAAGGGGGTTTCCCAGCAAGTTGTTGATTGCCTCCCTATCATATGAGATTGAACACCTACGAACCCAGGAAATCCTGTTAGTTTGATTTGGTTTCAGTGGCCATGCATTGGCATAGAATTCAATCCTTGGTGCAGTAATCTTAGGGGTTTAATCATTTTAGGGGTGCAGGAAATCCTTGCATTGTTCTCTGGTTTTAATCATTTTAGGGGTGCAGTAATCTTTGGTACAACTTTGTTGTATGATGAGACGATTCAATCTTTTAAATGGTTATTTAATACTTTCTTAGAAGCACATAATCAGAAAAAGCCGTTAACAATATTTACTGACCAAGATCAAGCAATGACTAAAGCTCTTGTGGAAGTGATGCCTGAGACACATCATGCTTTGTGCACATGACACTTGATGCAAAATGGAATCAAACACCTTGGTAATTTGATGAAAGGCGGAAGCCATTTCTTAAGAGATTTTAAAAGATGCATGTATGACATTGACACAGTTAGTGAGTTTGAGCAAGCTTGGAGAAGTATCGTTGAGGAATACAATGTTTCTGAGAATAATTGGATGAAATCAATATATGGAATAAAGAAAAAATGGGCGGCGTGCTACATGAAGGAAGTGTTCATACTTGGGATGCGAAGTACTCAACTAAGTGAGAGTATAAATTTTGATTTTAAGGCTTGTATGAAGCCTGGTGTAAACATTAAACAGTTCTTTGCATACTTTGAATGTGTGGTAGAAAACAAGCGTTACAATGAACTAATATGTGAGTATGAGTCTCGTCATAAACTAGCAATGTTGAGATATGAAATGTCTCTCATCCTATTACAAATAGGTAAAATTTACACACATACTATTTTCAACCTATTTCAACCGGAGTTTGCTTCATTTTTGGCATGCTGCATATCAAAAAGGAATGAATCTCCCCCTTTGTTTGAATATGTCATAACTACAGTCAATGAAAATGGATCATGAATAGTATCATTTGATCATACCTCAAATTCTATATGTTGCACTTGTAGAAAATTTGAAACATTTGGCATCCTTTGTTCCCATGCATTGAAGGTTTTTGAAGCAAATGATGTCAAGGTTGTGCCCGAAAAATACATCATTAAGAGATGGACAAGAGAGAGTCATTCTGGAATTATACACAATATCAAAGGTATAGAGGATCAGGAGGATCCTAAACTTGTTATCACAAGACGATACTGACAACTAGCTTCTAAAATGATTAGACTCGCATCAGAGGTATCTAGTTCAGAACAATACTCTCAATTGGTGGATGAATGTGTAAACGTTGTGTCTCATCAAATCACACAACTTCGATTAAAAGAGCAACATGGTGAAAGTCACAATGATGAGGTCCCTATATCAGTCATTAATGATGGTATACAACCAAAGGGTTTCAAGCACCGCCCAAGCATGAAGAGGAATAGGTATAAACGATTCAAAAGTTGGGTTGAGCTACAAGAAAAAAGGAAAAAAAATTGGTCCATTAAGAGGACAATCCCAACGGCAAAATGTTGAGGTACATGTATTAATGCACCTATCAAAATTTAAAATTTGTCCATTATTATTTGTCTTGTGTATAATAATTTGTTAATGCTTTCAGGAATATCAACCCACCCCTTCTGAACCATGTGATGTCCATTGTTCAGCACCTCCATCTTATCATTCTCCACATACTTTCAACAATACTCTCATTTTACTACATTATTAACGATATGTTCAAAAACATATAAATCCAAAATTTACCTAAATACCAAACTTATTTTTCTTACTAAGATGATTGATATTTTATCCAATTTTATTTTTTTTGTAGGAACCTTTGGATGA